CAGTTTCTGCTGCTTGCCATGGAAAAATAACAATTTTTATGAACAGTGAGATAAAAAAAACTCTTTAGGGCAGATGAAGGATAGTTTCTTGACTGCTTTCAGCTTGAAACTAAATCTATATTTTTCTATGGCAATGCTTTTGGTAGTTTGGTTCTCTCTCCCTGGAATTTAACTCAAGAATTCTCAAGTTGTTACTTCAAGTTTTGAGTATAGAGTTTTGGCTCGTCCTGCATATTAATGTTTGCATGTATGTATGCTAAACTATTTTTGTACTACTAACTTTTTAGTATAAAACTACCCTCCTCCCCCAATACTGTAGAGGTTCCACGTCTTCTTAAAAAGTTAAATAAAAGATGGTTTTAAACAAGCCTGATTCTGAATCCCCTCTTCCACTTTTCCCACACTGTAGACGAAAACCTCTCCCTAAAAATTTAAAAACAAATTTAAACCAGATAAGCAGTAAATGCATGGATTTCCACAGTGGATAGTTCCTGGCACCTGTTCTGATTCTATGGGGTTTTTTCCTGCATGGTGGTTTGTAACTGGCTATTCTCACTGTAGAAGTGAAGCTGTAGTGTAAGGGAGCTAGAAAGATGTGGTCACTCCAGCTGCTGCAGTGAGAACAGCTCCAACAGAAAGGACTTCCCACCCTTTCTGAGTCACATTCTTAACTAAAAGCTAGGTACCATATAGAAACGAGGATACAGAAGAGGTATGTTATAGTCTGGATTTAAAGTTGTTAATGAATCAATCATAGGTTTTTTTCTACTTAGAAAATTGATAATTGGGGGCAGTACTGTTTTTTGGTTATTTCTTTCCCCCTCATTGCTGCTGCTGATGTGTTGTTTGAACCTGATTTTACTTGCTGAGTAAAGGTGTGTTGGTGGTACAGGCAAACAGGCTTTCTCTAATGTGTGTCTTCCCAAGGACAGCCAAAATAAACAGTAAAATAATTGTAAAGGTGAATTTTATGTCATGGGTTATTTAAGCCTTTAGTACTTTCACAGGAAATACAATTTAACCATATTATAGCTTATCGCAGTTCATGCTTTAGAAATCGGCAGGCTTTGTTTTCCCTTACTTTGTCTTTTACTGTTCATTTTTCAAATTCTAAAATTCAACTCTTAACTATTTTACAACAGTGCATATGTACTGGTGTAGAATTGGTCCATAAATGTTTCCAAAGTCCAGGATTCATCACATATCCATGATCTTGGGGCACTTTGTGGATAATCAGGATGCTTGCTATAGAACAATTAAGAGCTAAATTCCCACCCAACCTCTTTCCTCCTCACGAAGGCATACTCTTAAGCTTGAGCCAACAGCAGTGTGATAGTTTTGTAAATAATTCCATTGTTTTTGGTAACTGAAGGACAAGAATAAAGACCACACTGCATAGTAGGTTAATGTATTCCTTTCTACTAGATGAGAGTATGAGATAACTCAGATGTAAGAAAGAATCTTTTATACCTATAATAAAATATGCCAGTTCTCAGTTCTCCACTGGTTTTTGCCAAATACAGTTTCCTTTATGCACAATGTGTATTCAAGGAAAATAGTTTTTTTTTTCTCCTCTCCTTTGCTCCCTCTTTTCCCCTCTCTCCCTCCCCCTTCCCTAAGTTAGATACATATTCTGAAAAGGTTTAAGAAAACTCAGGGCACAAAAATATATAATTACTAGATAATTTGTTATTTGGCACAGAGATTTGTTTAAGCTTTTAATTTTTTTCTGTTTCTGGGAGAGAAGCCCATGATTTATATTAATTATAAATCCAGAAAACTTGTTAAACTCTTCTTAATGCTAATACTTTGTACTTCTGTATGGTCGGTCATAGTATCTTAATAACTACAGCTTAGTTTCTTTCTGATAAATCCTTATAATTTCTGTTTCTTTATTTTTCTCACTGCTCTGAATAATTCCTACAGGACAATATGAATAGAATTGGAAATAGCAAGGTTAGTTTCTTGCTTTACATCTTAAAATTAATGTACTAAGTGTAATGTTTGGATTTTTTGTTGTTTTTGTTTGTTTTGCTTTGATACATGTTTTTTCCACCCAGAAACTCTTTCTGGAATCCTCTTTATTCTTTTGATGAGATTACTAAACAAAATTTGATCATAAGAGACATTGAAATATTTCAAATGCCTTTTCCACATATATTGATTGAAAAGCAAACATTTACTTCATTCATTTTTGTGATTATCCTTATTTTTCTTATAATTTAGGTTACCTGGCCTCTTTCCCAATGTCATGGGTTGCATATTAGTAATTTTTATTTCCTCTTTTCTAATTTGAGCATTTAAGCTGTAAAGTTCTTTAGTTATCTAGGCATTTTAGTATGCATACTTAACATCTAATGTTAATTCACATCTCTGTTATCTTACTCAGCAATATAAGGACCTTAGAGCATATTCTAAATACTCTGACCCATTGCCCTGTAGTTTTGTTCCAGCTTAAAGGGTTTTTTGTTTGTTTATTTTTGTTTTCGTCTTTTCTTTATTAGCACTGGGAGTAAACCCAGGGCCTCATGCACACTAGGCAAGTGGTCTATAACTGAGCTACATCTCAGCCCAGCTGAAAGTTTTTAATACCACAGTTTCCATGCTTCTCTGTCTTCCTCTGTCACTTTTTCCAGCTTTGGTTCCTCTGCCAGACACTTTTTCAGAGTCCTCACTTTTTTTTCTACACTTTCACCAGGTGGGAAAAATGATCTTTGTTCAGTTCATATGTGTTATGTATTGTTTTCTGATTCCCAAATTTTCTACCAAGCTAGATATTAATACTAGATTTATGTATCCTATTATCTGTATTTGGTATCTTTCCCATCTCACAGGCATTTCACATTTAAAGAGTAGTTTAGTTTTGAAGTCTTTCATCAACGTTCCCCACCCTGTACCTCAAATCTGTGTCTCTTGTATGCATTGCCTTTTTTGTTTTTGTTTTGTAGTACTGGAAGTTGAGCCCAGTGTTCACATTTCACGTGCCGTATTGCTTGAGCTATGCTACCCCCAGCCCTAGCCCTTTTGTCTGTCTGTTTTCCTTTCTTTCCTTTTCTTTTTTGTTTTTGTTGTTTTTCATTTTTGAGACACGGTCTTGGTGCTACCATTACCCACACTGACCTGGAACTCTTGATTCTCCTGCCTCCACTTCCCAAGTAGCTGGGATTACAGGCATGCGTCACCATGCCTAGCTATATTTGTTGTCCTAATAAATTGGACATTCCTTCTACCAATTTATTTACTCATCCCAAAAAATTGTGCTCATTTTTTGGAGAAACTATTATAGTGCTCAAGTCAACCACAAAGTTTAGTTAGGTTTATATTCAAGAAGGTCTGCAATCTGTTCCCTTTTGTCTTCACTGTGAAATACTCTAGTCCAAGTTATAACACATCTTACCAGGACCACAATAATAACCAGCCAACATGTGAGTTCTATTTATAAAGTAGCTACAGTGTCCTTGTTACTAAGAACCACACCATGGAAAGCTGAATGCACAATTAATTGGCTCCCCTACTTCCAAATATGTTCTACTCCTAATCCATTCTCCACATGGTAGGCTTACAATGTTTAAAATTATAGATTCAGACTGGAGGTATGGTGCAAGCAGTAGTGCCTGCCTGGCAAGCACAACGCCCTGAGTTCAAGCCCTTATATGATAAATATCTTGATATATATCATACTTAATAATTCTGTGCCTTCTGATTGCTTTTATAATGAAAGCCAAATTCTCTGGTGTATCCTACAAAGACCCCACATGATCTCATGCCTACCTACCTCTCCAACCTTTTCACCGTCCACTTACTTACCTCATTACAGTTATATCAACCTTCTGTGGTTATGAAACTAAGGGAACAGTTGTTTTCTCAAAGAAAACAAGAAAGAGGCATATCTGCAGATATGCCTCTTTCTAACCACACTGTAAAGAGACTTCTCCTTCCTCCTCAAATATGCACACACATACACATTCACACTTATATTTCATGCATCCTTCAACTCCCAACCTAAGTGTCATTTTCTTATGGAATCCTTTTCTTACCAGGTTCAAGTCAAAATTATACTTCTCAAGGAAGTCTGTTCCTTTTCTTTCCTATTACAAGTGTAATTATAAGGGGTGTGTGTGTGTGTATGTGATTTGCTTAATGTCTGTCTCTTCACCATAAGTTCTAGAAAATCAGAGACTGCACCCATTTTTTTTTTTACCATGTCCTCATATCTATCAAGAACACTGCTTGGCACATCGGCAAAAATTGGGTGGCATGGGTGAAATGTCTGACTAAATCTGCATGTCTGGTGCTAGACAGATTGAGGGAAGGGGTCAGTGTCCCTGAACTGTAAGAAGTATCATGAAGGCTAAGTTTTTTTATAATACTGAAATACATAGTAGGTGGTCAATAAGTTTTTGGAAAGGTAAAAAGAGAAGAAAAGAGAAAAGAGAGAGGAAGGAAAAGGAGAAAGAAAATATAAAAGGACAAAGAGGAAATGGAACAGAGAAAAGAAATTGGAAATGAGACAGGAAAGGAAATGAGAAAGGCTATAAACCTAAATGTAGAATTATAGTCTTTGATGGGAAAAAGTTAGATGAATCTACTTATCTTTCACTTAAAAAAAAGAACTTGGGGAAAAGCAATAAAGTGTTAACATGGAATAGAATATGAAATCTCTTGCTATGGTAGTCTTTTGGTGGATGGATGTATATGTGTGTGTATTTTAGTGAGAGCAAGAAGTACAGGTGGGATTACCTTCAGCACACATTCCCCTAAGCATGTGCTTTTTAACCATAACCTAATTTTTCAAAGTCTTATAAAGCAAGGGTTTGTTTTGTGTTGCCTCTTGCTTACATTTATGGATACTCATTCCTCTTCTTCAGTTATATGCCTTTGCATACAGTAACATAGGAAGTATGTTTAAAAGTATTTTGTAAAATATAAATGTATACATATACCTAATTATTATTGATTGGATGTGGATAATAATTTCCTGTTTATTTCCTAAATTATAGAAAAATATGTCGTAACTGCAAGTGTGGCCAAGAAGAACATGATGTCCTCCTTAGCAATGAAGAGGATCGAAAAGTGGGGAAACTATTTGAAGACACCAAGTACACCACCCTGATTGCAAAGTTAAAATCAGATGGAATTCCCATGTATAAACGCAATGTTATGATATTGACCAATCCAGTTGCTGCGAAGAAGAATGTCTCCATCAATACCGTTACCTATGAATGGGCTCCTCCTGTCCAGAATCAGGCATTGGTAAATAATAAGGGGAGGAAGGGTCCCTTTATTGAAGATCCTATGACCATATATTTAGAGCACTTCCTTTCATGACATAATCATCCTCATATACCTCCACATCTATTATTTTTCTGGGGTTCCCCTTAACTTTGACTTCTAGCTCCTATTAGAATCTTTTGAAAATAATACTAAATTCTTCATTGAGTTTTTCTGACTATAGGGAATGGTCTAAAATTTTTAATAAGTACATGAAAATCGGATGTTTTGTGTCAATCTAGTAATTCTTCTGTTTTACTTGTGAAAAGATTTTTCTTAAGATGGTAGAGAACAAAGAGTAGAATTTCTGCCATTGTTTAGAACTCAACAAAAAATATTCAACATTGTATTCCTGTTACTATATAAGGCCAAAAATGCAATTTTGTATCAAGCTTCTTCCACTATTATGACAACTAGATTAAGTATTTGGTATCTTTAGGAAGATTAATTAGATCATTAAAGTGAATCTTGGCATGGTATTTTTATATGATGAAAATGTTACTGATCCATAGGCTTTTCTAACTTCACCTAAAAATTTGTGATCTTTTCCAACTACATATGTTTTGGCTGAGCACAAGTAAATAGTAGTAATCCAAATGTTTTTACAAACTGAAAAAAATTAATTTCATAGAGAAAAATGAGTCGATCATGTGACTAAATCTACTTAATGTGCCATTTTTAATGTGTTATTTGTGTTATTATCTCAAGGTGTTTATAGGATAAGGATGAATTGTTATTAATGGATAAAACTCCTTTCTTAAGTAATTAATTGGCTTCTGATGTTCATTATGAAAGATTGTACTCCCTGATAGCTAGGACTTCTCCCAGTTGACATTGGTCCCCTGTGCTTTAGGCCAGACAATACATGCAGATGCTGCCTAAGGAGAAACAGCCAGTGGCAGGCTCCGAGGGGGCCCAGTACCGGAAGAAGCAGCTGGCAAAGCAGCTCCCTGCACATGACCAGGACCCTGCAAAATGCCATGAGTTGTCTCCCAAAGAGGTGAAGGAGATGGAGCAGTTTGTGAAGAAATATAAGAATGAGGCTCTGGGAGTAGGAGATGTCAAACTTCCCTGTGAGATGGATGCTCAAGGCCCTGACAAAGTATATATCCCAGTGGGGGATAGAAACACCCCAGCAGCAGTACGAGCTGTGGAGAACAAGTCTGCTGAGCACAAAAAAGCCCAATACGTAAGTAGAGTGGTCAGCGGTTGGGCCAGTTTGTGTGTGTTTACAGATTCTTTTTCTTTCTTAGAACTTTTTTGCTCTGCTTCCAATAGGAATAGGTAAAGGAAAGAAACTGAGTGAAAATTCAGTTTAGACTTATCTGAGAGAGTCATTATGTTTGAAAATTCTGTCTACAGCCAAATTTTCTGATTATTTGTTGCCACAGATAATTGTGAACTTTATGTATACACAGTAGTTGGCATTGGTATCCTGCTTGAAGAAAACATACCAAACTACTATCTGTTTCTCAACATAACTTTGGTGTTTGCTTATTTCTTCCTAAAAATCAGAATAAGGCATACTTAGATTACCTAAAATTGAGACTTAAATTTATGTGACTACATTGGCAAGCATTTTTTATAAAGTCTCCTAAAGATAATGAGGTTAAAAGTCTTTATCTTGTTATTTTTTTTCTTTTGAGTACTAGGGATTGAATTTAGGACCTATGCTTGCTAAGCAAGTGCTCTACCACCTGAGGCACACTCCCAGTCCTTTTGCTTTTAGTTTGTTTTTTTTCAGAGAGGGTCTCACACTTTTACTTCAGCTGACCTCCAACTAAAATCCTACTCTCTCTGTCTCCTGAGTAGTTGGTGAAATATTTTTCTAATGACTCAAAGGTCAAAGACAATTATGACAGAAATGGACAAAGTATAAAAACTAAACTTACTATGATATAGTTCAACTTATTAGTTGGCTTAGTCCTGCAGAAAAATTACTAATAAGCTCTAAAGTAATCATTTTTGAGAGAACTCATATAAAATTGAGATGAAAATTACTATTAACCTTTTCCCATAAGTGACTTCCATTCTGGAGACAATCCTGTCTTACACGAGGGAAAGAAGTGAGTTCAAATAGCCTGTAGAAAACTGAGGTTCTGTTTCATAGGAGTATTAATACCTTACCATCTAGATGTACAAAGTAATAATTTTTGTAGAGAATAATTTGTCTTGAAGTTGTCTCTCTGAATTCCTCCTGAAGCCGGTGATATTCGAGTCTTTTGATGACTGGATTGTTTTGGATGCTTCTCTTTTAGTCCTGCTACTGCTGTAAGCTAAGTATGAAGGAAGGAGACCCAGCCATCTATGCTGAAAGGGCTGGCTATAATAAACTGTGGCACCCAGCTTGTTTTGTCTGCAGCATCTGTGGTGAACTCCTGGTTGACATGATATACTTCTGGAAGAATGGGAAGCTGTACTGTGGCAGACATTACTGTGACAGTGAGAAGCCCCGATGTGCTGGCTGTGATGAGGTTTGTTCTCTGGGCCACCCACATGATCTGTCTTGTATATCAATATGGGCACCTTACCCAGAAGGCAACAGAAATTAACCAAACATTAGTTTTTATTTATATCCAAAGAAGTCTCCTGAAAGAAAATTTTGATTTTTTTTTTATTTTGGTTGTGTGTCTTAGTGTGTTTGCTAATGACTGTCCAGAAATAAAAGATTGATTTGAACTAAATGATAACATAAATTCAAGTTTAATTAATGTTACCATTTCCTGATTGATCTGCTTGTAGATTGTAATACCTTATTGTCTATAAAGAACCTTGCTTTGTAATCTGTGGCACAAAGAAAAATGTCTGATTCATCTTATTTTACTCCTCTTGCCAGCTGATATTCAGCAATGAGTATACTCAAGCAGAAAACCAGAATTGGCATCTGAAACACTTCTGCTGCTTTGACTGTGACAACATCCTCGCAGGCGAAATATATGTGATGGTCAATGACAAGCCTGTTTGCAAGCCCTGCTATGTGAAGAACCATGCTGTGGTGAGAAGTGTTGTAGGGACGCAGTTGTCTCAGTGTGCTTTCTGACTGAGTTTATGCCTCTCTTCAAGCCTCTTACAAATGGGAAGGAGAAGGCATTCATCTTACTAAAAAGCAAGTGATTCCCACCATAGGGTGTTAAAATTCAGGCAATCAAAGACACTATTACCACAAGGTGGCTCATTCTACCTTATGTTTACAATATAGATTTTAAATTCTGCTTGATAATAGAACTCTCACTAAGAAAAAATTCTAAGTAATGTTTTCAGGGGTTGTTTGTAACTATAGCTGTATTCGAATGTGTGTGGTTTCTGTTCATGTTACTGGACCACCTACTAGGATTTTATTTTTACTACATGGAAATTGTATAGTGCTCAAACCTTCGCTGAATTGATTTAGTATAACAAAATTTGACCTGTACATTTAGATTCATTGTGTGGTCCAAACATTCAGGTACTTAATGTGAGAGTATATTTTTTATTGCTTACACAAAACTGCTATTGTATAATAGCCAAGAGATTGGTAATATAGATAAAAGATAAAAAAATTGACCATGTATGGTAGAGCTTATAAGCCAGGAGTACCAGAAGTATCTTTTACTTCTATGTATGTAGGAAAAGCATACTAGTTACAGGTTTCCCTCAGCTATCAAGTAGGGGAGACTCCTGGCTAAGGAATATAATACCTACTTTTATAGTATTTTGGAGGTATCAATGTGTTCGTTTTCTTTTTTCTACTGTAATACAGATGATTTTTTATTTTCATTGTATACATGTTCAATTAAGTATGTATGTCTGTGCATCCTTTGTACCTTTGAGTATAATACATATAGAATACTGAATGGTGCAGGGAATGTAAGTATTAGTGTTCTATAATATTAGATTATACATAAATATGACTGATCTTATGACAGAACAGAAGCCAGTTAATTACAACTTATTTTTATAGTGCAAACTAATTCTCAAACACTGTATTTTTATTTGAGTGCTTAATTACTTTGAACATGACTTTAATTTGCTAGTGCCTAGAAACTAGTGGTATTAATAATCTCATGTGTCTGGTAAAATTATTGTTTCAAAGTTTTAATGAGTGAAGAAAATCATCTTATAAACTTTTTAATTACTGATGTGTAATCTGTTAAAATATGCTGAGACCAAATGCACTGCTTTGGAATTTTCTGTCAAGACTTTCTACCTTAAACACCACAGGGATATCTTACAAGCATCAAACCACCTGTTTGGCCTTCAAAGCACCTGTTTGGTGCTTAGCATATAGGCCCCCATTAATGATTGTTGGCTAAAAAAGTTCACTAGGAAGACATTTCCACTTCTGTATTTTTTTATGCCATTCTTGGTTTTAATTTACCATATAAAGAAACATGTTAAATTTGTCCATAGGTTAAAATGCTATGCCATGGTTTGATCTCTCACCCTATTCTCTTGCTTGTATTATTCCTGAGCAGGTATGTCAAGGATGCCACAATGCAATTGATCCAGAAGTGCAGCGAGTGAGCTACAACAACTTCAGCTGGCATGCGTCCACAGAGTGCTTCCTGTGCTCCTGCTGCAGCAAATGTCTTATTGGGCAAAAGTTCATGCCTATGGAAGGGATGGTTTTCTGTTCAGTGGAGTGTAAGAAGATGATGTCCTAGGAGAGTACCACACAGCATTGAGCCATAGCTATCCAAAGCAGCCTGCATTTCTATGATAAAATGCAATTTGAAAAAATAAAAGGAAAAGAACCCATAAAGGCAACCAGAAGATTTTGTTCAATACCTTTGTCTGGTTTTTTTTTTTAATCAGTTTTTGTCTCAACTTTAAAAGCCTGCTTTAAGCATTTGATTTTAAAAACAGCAAAGAATTTTAGCTTTCTGTAGTTTTCCAAATATGAAATCTTCAAGTAGGAAGCTTGTGTTTAAGTAATCTTCATATCTCTATGCTGGTGCCAAATGTAGTATATATAAAACACTTAAAAGTTAGTGTTCTGAATGGAAGATGAGCATCCCTAGTTCTATACTTTTTTTTTCCTTATGTACAAAATGAAAAGGAAATTATTTTACCCTCATGTCAGCACTCCACATTTATTCCTCATCTTACTCATTGAACTTATAATGAACTCAGTGAATTGTTACCAGAGAACATAGAAATACAATGCATTTTGTAGAGCTGTTTTAACACCTCTGCATTTGCTAAGTCCTGATTCAGGCAGAGGTGGAATTTGTATATTGTATTTCTCTGTATTTTATTCACCCTACCTCTTAAGTATTCTCTTTTGCAAGCTGGTGACCTCCACCTGTGGCCTTGAATATTTTACTATCACACGTGGCATAACAATATTTGCACTTTTTATTTTTATAGAGTTTTGTCTTGGGACATAAAAACCAAGCCATTCATTTATATTGTTTTTAATCCAAAGAATATATATAGTTTTTGTACCCAGGGAGCTATAACTTTTACTAATTGCACTTGCCTGTCATAGTTTGAATAAGTATTTTGCATGATTTTCAATCTTATCTAATGAATACTGCCTTTAATTCTTCTAAAGCATTTTCATAGATATGTAGAATGTCTTCTTTGTCCACATTCTTCCATCTTTATGTTATTTCTCATGTTTATTTTCCTACAAACTTCCATACTTAGCTATGCACTATGAACATTAAATGGAATGAATGATATGTATATTATTATTCAAAATAAAGTCTCTTTTACTTTAATAATTGTCTTTTTTCACATCCTTTTCATTTAAGTGAAAAGTCCTTCTGCAGCTAAACATCTGTTACAGCAGGGGGCGATGTCTCCAAGGAGAAAAACAACCCAGACAAAAATAAAGGCTGCTTCTGATCGGACAGAAACTAGACTTCATTATAGGGAAGGATTAATATTTATTTATGCATTTATTTATTTACTTATGGCACTGGGGATTGAACTCATGGCCTCAAGCTTGTTAAGCAGGTGCTCTACTACTTGAGCCATGCCCCCAGTCCTTTTTGCTTTTTTAGTTATTTTTGGAATAGGGGCTTGAATTTTTGCCTTGGGCCAGAATAGGCTGAGATATTCCTATTTAGGCTTCCCATGTAGCTGGGATAACTGACAAATAAGCTGACCACAATCAGCTTATTTGTTGAGATGGGGTCTCACTGATTTTTTGCCTGTGCTGGCCTTATACTGTCATTCTCCAGATCTCAGCCTTGCAAGTAGCCTAGGATTTCAGGCATAAGCTGCCATATCCACACAGGTTATGACTCTTTAAGTTAGGACATTTATTTTTAGGTCATGCAGGAGCTTTTTTCTTTTAGAAAAATGTCATTTTAATAGACATTTGGGAAGACTCTTGTACTTGATATTCTTACACAACTCCTAGTTTCCTAAGAATTTTTTTGTGGCAACCTATTGTGAAAAAGGAAGCAAGTGGGGAATAGCAGTAGATTCTCTTCTAATATTAGCAGACTCTGAGGGTGTTTCTTTTGTTTTGTTTGTTTTTTTCCTTCCATCTGAAGTATTTCTTTAGTAGGAATTGTAGTTTTTTTCCTGACACATATCCAGGATAATTTTGCTTTTTTTTTTTCTAAAGTGTCTGTTGGATAGTACTTCTGTTTATATTACACATACAAACATTTTTAAATTTTTTTATTATATTGTGCTAGAGGTACATTGTGACATTTACAAAAGTACTTGCAATATATCTTAGATTCACCCACTCCATCATTCTCCTTTATCCCTCCTCCCCCCATTCTTAGAATAGTTTCACAGTTCTCATTTTTCTATTGTCATACATGAGTACATAATATCTCCACCATATTCACCTCCTGCACCCTTTCCTTACATCCTCCCCCTCCCACTGGTACCAACACCCAGACAGTACCTCTTTTACCTCCCTGTTCTCCATTTTTTGAAAAAAAAAGACACTTTTGTTTAAGATAGCCATACAGGGATTTTCACCGTAAGATTTTCATGTATATATGTACTATAACCCAAATTGGTTCATCCCCTCCATATTTCTCCTTTCTATCTTAGTCTTCTTATGGTGATTTCAGCAGGTTTAAAATTTTTATATTCATTCTTGTATAGAAAATACATCACCATATTCACCTACTTTTTACCCTCTCTTTCCCGTTAGTGACCTCCCCTTGGCATGACCTGGTTTTCATTCTTGTCCTTCGTTATTAAGGTGTCTGTTAGTTCACTGAGATTTTTGCCTTAGTCTTAGTATTTGTACTTGTACATGCGTTGTACTTAAGTCAATGTAATGTATCCCCTGCCCACTGCATTTCCTTGTCCTTTTCCCCCAACTGGTGGTGTTTTAACAGTTTTCAGCAAGTTTCCTTGTGTCTCTCTCCTACACGGAGCATATTCACACATTTAATGTGTATAGATAAACACATTTATTTTCTCTGCACTATGTTTTCTCTAACCATGGAAAGGTACCTTTTGAAGTTTGAATATTGTCTCAAAAGAAGAAATCTAATTCTGCATACAATTTTAAGCACTAATATCACAATATCCATCCTTGTCTACAAATACCACTATATGGTTGCTTATTATTTTTTCCTTTGACTTATATGATAACAGGTATATTTTACAGAGCATTTTGTCCACAAAGTTGAACATCTTACTTTCCCATACATGTCTAAGTGAAAATAAATTGGAGCAGAATCTCTTTCACACTTAAACAGCCAAATCTTGGGTCTGCCATCCTGGGCCTCAAGCTTTAAGCTATGACAAATTCAGGCTAGATTGGGGTACAGAAACCCAAGACATTGAGTTCATTATTTGCTACCCAAGAGAATGATTTCTCATGTATTAGGTGATTTCCTAGAAGAAATAAACTGCCCTATGTGGGAGACAGAGTCACTAGATTTGGCTGTTCCCTTGTATGATTTAGCATGGACTCTTAACTGAGAGGTCCTGAACATTTTTATTGTTAACCAGTTTGTGTGTGTGTGTTTAAATGGCCTTTCAAATACTTAGCATTATAAGAAGAGAGTTAGATGGTAAATTTGAATTTTTTCCTCTAACATTCAGGTTATATCACTCCAACATTTTATATTCTTCATTGTCTCCTAAATAATGGTTTACTTGTTACAGAAGCCAAACTTAAATCCTTCCTTGCAGTGGGAAAAATTTGGGGAAGTAATGTTTTCATCTAAATTTGTGCATTTTTTTACTCCAAAAATGGGGAATGTCAAACAACATAAGATTTTGTTTTTGTTTTGTTTCCAGTGATGGGGAAACTAGTACCTCTTACATGCTTGGCAAGAGTTCTACCACTTGAACTACATCCCCAGATCTTTGCTCCCTTTGCCTGGGCTAACCTTGAACTCATGATCCTCCTGCCTTTGCTTCCTAAGTAGATGGGCTAGCGGTGTGTACCACCACACCCAGTTTAGAACAATTTTTTATTCTAATTATTTCCTATTGGTCAATTATAAGAAATTTCTCTCATGAGAATCCCATGCAAGTCCTATTTCTCAGAGGCAAAACTTATACTTTCTATGTCTAACATACTAGACATTTAAGAACATGTTTGTGTAGTTAGCAGTCGAGAGACCCTCACACTGGGAGGGAGAAAATGACAGAATATGGAACCACTTATGGCACCACAGAAAATAACAGATTTTCTTCCCATTTCTTCAGAAGCTACCATCATGGATATTAAAAGGTATAGCAGTGGCTTCTGCTTTTCCTGTCTCCTGAACAGCAATGAGAACTTGCAAACAGATGTTGAATGAGGAAAGAGAGGAAACACTTCTCTCCTGAAACCCAAGAATTGAAAAGGTTTTGACACATCGTTAGTTACTGAAGTATTTTGAGACAATGCATTTATTATCCTTATTGGAAGAATCAGACCACATTAGTATAATTATAATAACTGCTTATCTGCATATATCCTATTCACCTCTATGCAAGAATTTTGCATATAACCCTTAGGTAAAGTTATAATTTTGAGAAATTGGATTTTTGTTAATCCCATTTAAGAAATTAGTTGCTCTTGAGACTTACTGGCCTTTATATTTGTTGCATGGTATCTTTATTTTCTTCCAGAGATGAGAGACTGAGGATTCTTCTTTATTTAATCAATACTAGCTAAAATTTATGTGACTCTGATGTCTTTAAGCATAGATTTCCAAATCTGACTATGAATATTTCAACCCAATTTCACCAAAGGCAATTCATTATTGACTCATGCTTAAGCAATTTCTATGGTTACCAAGAGACACCGCCACCTAAGACTAAGCGTTTGTCTCAAGATGTGCTGGCATATCTGAACTTGTCTTCTGGGTATTTACTTAATTCCTTAGAAACCTTATGACTCCATCAATGTCTCCATAAAAAACCACTTTACCACTATTTCTTACCAGATACTCTCTGCCCCTTCTTGACCTCTGCTGATTTAAGTACTCGATGACAGCTGTGATGATGTTTTTGAATGTTCATGTATATGAAAAGGATGCACTGCACTGAGGTATGTGGGTATTTGAACACACAACCTGACATTCTGGCCTGATTAATAGAATCTATTTTCACTTGTTTACCAGATGTTTAAATAGTTTTGGCTATTTTGTCCTTTCATGGGGAACATATCATTGTAGCTTCTATTTAATCTGATAATGTATTTTGAAATACTCAAAATGTCAATTAACCTTTTATACTTGTTTCAAATGGCATTTTGAATGACATTTATAAAGGCTGCTATTGATTTTTTTCTTCAGTGATACTTGTCAGGATATCTTGACCTTCAGAC